AGCAGGAATCAGACTACCTCTGCGGAGTTAGTCACAGAGAGGATTCAGGAAAAATTCAGGCAAAGCAGAAAACAGCTTTATCTTCACCTTCGCCTGCCTCCCCGCTGTCCATAAAACTCTATCCATCCCTGCAGATCTCAAGATGAGGGTCAAATAATTTTGCAGGCCAAAACTTATGTCTTCTAGGTGGAAGAGGAATAGATGGATGATGCAGCCCAGTGTTTCTAACTGAGCCAGTTGTTATAGAGAAACAGCCGTGTTCTGATTTTAAAAGTTTATCAACTTGCCAATGGAAAGTCCTGTTTCCTTGGTAGTAGAAAATATATTTTTTTAATCGGACTTATTTTCCTCCAGTCGGTACTTGGATGCCCATCAGGAACTTTGAAGCTGTACAGTGACTTCTGGATCCTTTTGACACTGATTTTGGTCCTCCCTTAATATTTCCTCCTCTTGCCAGCTTATTCATTCTGCACATCATTTTGGGAACAGAATTTGTGCTGCTTCTGAGCTTCAGCTAAGTTGTTAAAATTTCATCATAGACAATCCTCTTAGATTGTCATAAAAGATTTTTGGCACTTTTAGATAGCATAAGTGAGCAGTTGAACAGAGGACTTACCACTTTGCATACTCTGCTTCCAGTGTAAAAACGTCTGAGAGTCCAGCAACTGGTGCTATACACACAGGCAAGATTATCTTAAGACAACTGTATCATCTTTGTGATAAACTGGTTTCTGCTCTGACATCTAATTACAGTGAGCAAGCAGGACCCTGCATGCAATAGACATAAAACAGAGCTGAGTTGAGCACTGCATATGGAACTCTCAAGGCATTATTCTCTGTCATTAAAGAAAATAAAATCCTTATGAAAGTCAAGTGGCCAAGTATAACTGAATTAAAGCCACCTTTATCAGTTATTGTTCTACCTGAAAGTGGATGGGGGCTAACCCAAAGTCCACTGAAATCAACAAAAGCCTTTCCACTGGCTTTCATAGTTACAGGACCAGGCATGCAGTTAGTTCTGGGATTCACCATGTATATGCTTTAACATCAAATAAATGTGCATGAACATCAGTGAAAGATGAATGATTACAAGGAAACGTCTGTAGCTTTGTTCCTGGATATTGCATGAAATCATAGTAAAGTAGCTTTTATGTTTCTTGAACAAGCACTGAAATAACTGCACTCTGGTTTGCAAGCTATTTTTGTAGTAGACAGGTACTTTTCATAGATTGTTAGGGGCTGGAAGGGACCTCGCAGATCATCGGGTCCAGCCCCCCTGCCCTAGGCAGGAAGACAACTGGGGTTAGGTGACCCCAGGTGACTGTCTAGTCTCCCCTTGGAAACCTCCGGGGTAGGTAAATCCACCACCTCTGGAGGGAGTTTATTCCACAGTCTGGACACCCTGACTGTGAAGGAGGTTTTCCTAGTATTAAGCCTGAAGCAGCCTTCCAGGAATCTATATCCATTGGTCCTGGTCTTCCCCGGGGATGCCCTAATGAACAGTTATTCACCAAGCTCCTGATGCACTCCTCTGAGATAGCAGTAAGTCATTACCAAGTCCCCTCTCAACCTTCTCTTCTTTAGGCTAAAGAGGCTCAGGTCCCTCAAGCTTCCCTCGTATGGCTTGCCTTGCAAGTCCCTGATCATACGGGTGGCTCTTTTCTGGACCCTCTCAAGTTTTTCCACGTCCTTATTGAAGTGCGGTGCCCAGAACTGGGTGCAGTACTCCAGCTGCAGTCTCACCAGTGCTGAGTACAGTGGGAGTATCATTTCCTTAGTTTTACATGAGATGCATTGGTTGATGCATGCCAGCATGTTGTTTGCCCTGCTGGCCACTGCCTCGCACTGATGGCTCATATTCATACAATGTTCATTCATTACCCCTAGGTCCCTTTCAGCTGTGGTGCAAGTCAAGCTGTCACCACCAAGCCTGTATGTATGTTGAGGGTTGTTTGCTCCCAGATGGAGCACCTTAGTGTTAAACTTCATCTGGTTCTGGTCTGCCCAACTCTCCAACCTGTCCAGGTCTGCCTGTATCAGCAACCTATCTTCTGACATGTCCACATTGCCCCTTAACTTGGTGTCATCTGCGAACTTGGCCAGTGAGCTTTTCACTCCCCCATCCAAATCACTGAAAAAGATGTTCAAAAGCACTGGTCCAAGCACGGACCCCTGAGGGACACCACCAGCCACTTCGCACCAGGATGAGACAGATCCGTTCATGAGAACCCTCTGGGTCCTACCCTGTAGCCAGTTTCCCACCCATTGAACTGTCAAGCAGCTGAACCCACAATCTTCCAGTTTTCCCACAAGGATATCGTGCAATACTGGATCAAAAGCCTTTTGGAAGTCTAGGTATATAACGTCTACCACATCTCCTGTGTTCAAGTGGCGAGAGACCTGGTTGTACAAGGAGATGAGATTGGTAAGACAAGACGTACCCATGACAGAAAGCCATGCTGGCTGTCATTCAGAATCTTACCTTCCACAAATATATCGCGCACAGATTCTTCAATGAGCTTTTCCAGAATTTTCCCTGGGATGGAGGTTAGGCAGATTAGCCTATAGTTGCCTGGGTCCTCCTCCTTCCCTTTTCTTAAAGATGGGCACTATGTTGACCCTCTTCCAATCCTTAGGGATCTCCCCTGTGCACCATGAATTCTGAAAGAGCTTTGCCAGGGCTTCCATGATGACCTCAGTCAGCTCCTTCAGCACTCTCAGATGGAGTCCATCCGGTCCTGCTGACTTATAAAAGGAAAAATTATGCTGAGGGGAAACCAGCACGGGTTCGTAGCAGGCAGATCGTGCCTGACTAATCTAGTCTCTTTTTATGACCAGGTTTCGAAACGCCTGGACACAAGAGGAGGGGTGGATGTCGTATACTTAGACTTCAGGAAGGCCTTCGATACGGTATCCCACCCCATACTGGTGAACAAGTTAAGAGGCTGTGACTTGGATGACTACACAGTC